GTTGCGGCGGTACCGGCCGGGAGGCCGGTTTGTATTGTCTAATGACAAAAAAACTGTGAATGTTGTATATAAAGACATTCTATAGTATATTTAGTATGTTCAGTAGGTATCTTTTGAAGATTTCCCCTTTTCGATAATAATCTAAACAAAACAAAGATATATTTAGTATCAGCATTGCACCTATGCGAAGCTGGAGCGGGTCACTAGTAAACTTATAAAATATAAAAGGAAAGGGAACCGAAGAAATTCATCACCGACAACAGACAATAACCTATTAATTTTGAAGAAGTGAAACATGTAATTAATTTTTATTTGGTAGACGAAGGAGAAACTGGCATTGTCTTTATTACTTTAGCACGGTTCAAATAATAAAGACAAAGCGAGTTCGTGATGAAGTGCTTATTAACTCTGGAGTGTCTATCACTTTTATACAAACGTTAGACAGGAGATGCTACCATCCCTTTGCTCACTGTACCTTGCAATAACGTAATTAATAGTAACACTTCTTCCTTATAAAAATGTCATAGAATTCTTGACGTTACACTTATTTCGGCATGCAACGGAAATTGCGCGCGCAACTGTCAACGGTAATCGAAATGAACACATTTTTTAAATAATTACATACAAAGGTAGTTAGTAAATACTTAGACTGACTAAATAAGTATGTAAATAGAAACATAACTTCTTAATATTTTTAAATTTTATTCTGTACGCATTTCGAAAAAGGTTGTTAAAGGTTAATGTTTGATGAGGATATCAAGGGTAGAAAATGTTAGAAATGAAGAGGTATTGGAATGAATAGGAGAACAGAGGACTCTATGGAAGTCAATAAAAAATAGGCGAGATAGGTTAGTAGGACACCTTCTCAGGCATGGAGGTCTAGTCAGAGACATATTAGAGGCAGAAACAGGAGTTAGGAGGGGTAGAGGTAGACCTAGATTAGATTACTGTTCGCAAATAGTTAAGGATGTGGGCTGTTCTAGTTTTAGGGAAATGCGAAGTTTAACTAAGGTTAGGAAAAAGTGGAAGTGCGTGTCCAACCAGTCTTAGGACTGATGGCCTTATGATGATGATGACGTATTTCGCCTATTAGCCTTTGACCAATTTTAACAACAAACGTATTTGTATTTGAAGCCTCGTTTAACCTGTACTTAGATTGTCAATTTGTGTAATATTCGATAATGTAGGAAGGGTTATGTTACGATGGGTAATAGTTTCGTCCCCCCCCCCAGGAGACTTTCCACACTCTCTCTCTCTCTCTCATGGGGAATACTCAAAATACAGTATTTGTCGCTAAAATGGATCAAAGGTTGACTTCTTCCATATACGCTGGAATGGGTACCTACAAATGGACGTCTTGACTAATGTTTTTCAAAAACGTATCATTTGACTCTGAATTCAGTGGGTACATACATTTTTAATTATGTCAGTAAAAACTGTTTTACTTACCTGATTTTTCGGTAAGACAGTTTAAACCGTCTATGTTGCAATATCCTTTTTTATCTTGAAAAGTGGAAATAACAAGATTATCATTAACGAAGAGACCCATACGTACATATATATTTTAAGTTTAGGATACTTAAGTTTCGAAAATTTAAGATTAAAAAAGGCATCGTGATACTTATAAATACAGTGTAAACTCTTTATAACGTCACTCAGTTTAACGACAAACTCCTTAAAACGTCGAAATGGCTTGACTTTGGTTGGTTTATATTGTTTTCTATACAATATTGCACTCTATATAGCGTCACGCTCACTCTATTTAACGACAATGACTATTATTTTCATTTGTTAAAGCAAGACTAATATCAGAAATAATTGTTTGCATTGCTCGTTTTTAATTATAATTTAATTTACGCAGAGATAGCATATAATAGGCAAACAAAACTAAAATAGCTACCCCTTCGTAATCAGCACAATGTTGTATTCGGGCTCTTCGCACGACGGAATGCAATCACATTCCAAGCCCAGTCGGGCGAAACCTTTCGAACGTAATCGATTTAAGATTTCTGTAAGTTCAATAAACAAAATCAGAAATTCAAAATAGAAAAATGCTGCAAAAATAAACGCTCTTCACTACATAGTATAAAACAAAGTCGCTTTCCCGCTGTATGTCCCTATGTATGCTAAATCTTTAAAACTACGCAACGGATTTTGATGCGGTTTTTTTTAAAAGATAGAGTGATTCAAGAGGAAGGTTTATATGTATAATACATGCATAATGTAGTAGGGAAATACTGATAATTTTAGAGGTTTCTAATGTGATGTCGTAAATAAACACATTTTTTGCTCTTATATTGCAAACGCTGGCTGAACCCTATGAGATAGATCAAAATAATGTACTACAATATTGTACATCTTAAAANTCCATTTAACGACCACTCTTTATAACGCCGAAAAGTGTTCAGTCCCTTAAGTGTCGTTATATAGAGTTTGCACTGTATGTATAAAACAGCAAAAGTTCCAAAGATACTAATCATGTTAATTCTAAAAATTAATGTTCCCAACAGTTGCAGTACCTGCTGTTTTTGGTCAAACAAGTATATTTACGCTATTTGGTGTATTTTACAACATTGACTGAAGGGCAAAATTTCCGTTATTATTAACGTTTTCGTTACTTACTAAAATAAGGCATATGATGATGCGTGCAGTTGCAGAATTCGTAATGAGCGTCTGCGTGACACTGAACAATACACGATGAGTAGCTATAAAAATTATGTACTTTTATTTCCGGTGGTAATTCATTGGGGAACCTGCAATGTCTCCTCTCTACTGGTAAATACTTTACACCTTCGTCGTTTGAAATCTCAGTAACCTGTGATTAAAATTTATTGTCAAAAAATTTCCCTGTAGGAGAAAATCCTATTTGCATAAAAGCGTTACGAGACTCGGAGCTTCAAAATAGGTTTTCACTTACAGTGAACGAAATATTGTAGCTTTCTCCAAGAACGATATCCTTTCTTAGTTCAGGATCTGAGTTTATATACGGGACGTCTTCCGGGGCGTGAAAATACAGCTACAAAGATAGGAGTAAGTACGTATTAGAGACTGGAACATGTAAGGCATTTCTGGTTTTAGTACCTACCCTAATATCATCTACGGCTAAAATCTCTAGTGTTCCAGGCCCCGACTTTCTGTCACATTTCAAAATAGAAGGCGAATTAGATGATTTACTTAAAACGAAAGGCAAATCATTAGTATTTGACATAACTGTTATAATCGTATGCCTGAGGTGCCGATAGATACGGTGACACGTTTGCCTTATTGAAAGCCGATAGTCCCGGGTCATAAAATCATACGCAGCGACATACGCAATGACTTATAAAATAAATTAATCTTACTAGAAGTTTTTCGAAAAATTTGGGAATGTTCGGTAACTGTATAAGTATATACATATACAACAGGAATCCGACGTATTACAGTCGATTAATGGTAGGTAATATAAGCAGTATGAAAACGGTGATATTTGTAATTCATATCACAAGTTACCTACAGTGGGCATGGAGAGTTACAGAGTCAAATAAATTGGTTGTATGTATGTACATGAGCCCTGTTTAAATTAATTAGAGTTATACTAGAAAATTCGTATCTAATTAAAAAAATATTATTGACTTTTCATCATGTTTTTTACCTTGTATGTAGTGAATTCAAAGAAAAGCAGACGCCATATTCTGTTTCTAAAGGTAAGAACTTATCACAACAATTAAATTCTTCTCCATTCCATTTACATTTAGACAGAAGGGACGAACAATTCTTGCGATACTACAAAATCACACAGATGCTTTTCTAATGCATAAAGTTAGCCTAAGGGTCTTTTTTTTTTAAACTACACTGATAAGCCGTATTTTTTCCATTAAATAATAATCGAAAATTGTTTGTTTTAGGGTTCCGTATGTCCAAATGAAAAACGGAAACCTTAAAGAATTATTAATAATAATAAATAAATAAATGAAAATTGATAATTCCCACACCTCGCCGAAACTATTGAACCTAAAATTTTGAAAAAAATACAGAAAATAGTTAATAACTAGTTAATAGATTGCAGGAAAATTAATGTTTTGTATGTCACTCGTGTGTCTGTCTGTCCGTTTTTATTAATAGTAAAATTAGTTTGCACTATTTTACAGTTCATCATAATAAAATTCGAACACTACTTTGTTTGGCGATAGAGTTAGTATTCAAGAAATTTCCTTTGCATGACGATCCTTTGTAAGGAATAATTCGTTCATCTTACATCGGTACTTTTATTAGATACAGAGCTTTCAACGAAGAACAAAAGCAAAACAACTATAGGGGTAGGTACTTACCCGTCTGACAAGATCACTGAAATTCAATCGCTTGCATTCTTGACATGGTTCAGCGCACGAGTAGCAACTTCCAGTGAATAATATTATGTCTGATATGAATTCCTGAACAACAGAATCATCGTTCGGAGGTTCTCTAACAAAAAACGGATCGTGAAAATGTTATGTATCCCGCGCTAAATAGTTCGTCAAAAAACGACATCCATATGTTAAAGAATTCTAAGCATTGAAGCGATCTTAAACATTTAAAGAATGTAATTAACATAAAAACTGTTTCAATTGTCCTATAACCAAAATAAATTCAAAATGAAATGGCGAATTGTCGCGGAAATAACTAACAGTATTAATTTTTGAAAACTAAATAATTAGTAGGTACTATTTGCGTTCAACAAAAATATTTTTCTGAAAAAATAAATATTATTTGCTGCCGTTATTATCGAGATTATTATCATTAGCGTTAGGTAATTTTGAGGAACTACTTAAAACTGACGTTATATCAGGGTTGTCGTTACAACCGATGTTATTATAACCAAGTTCCATTGTATAAATGTAGGTACAGCTGAACCATCGAGAGGTGGCCTCCGACTTTTTCACTTGCGGCAATTAAAAATACCACAAATGGCGTGCTGAACGCCATCTGTAGTACGATGCTACATTTTAGGATTACGTATGCTCTAACAAGGTCCATTTAAATATATGGATATCTACTTGCCAAAACGAATCCCGGCGTAGCTCATACCACAAATGTGGTATTTTCTAAAACGCGCTGTTAAGACAGCAGGTAAAAGTTGGTCTGTGTTCTGTCGGAGTTGTCTGCGACACGCTGACGAGATCCAAAAAGATCGAAATCGCGATCCGCGTCTGGCAGTTTCGACAGAATACAGACCAGTTCGAATTATTTTATTTGAAACAATATTTTATAGATTTCCTAAATAGCCTCGGAATTGTATACAACTCTTAGATTTCATACATTTCCGGTAACATATATAATATTTTTAGATAGTTTTCTATGAACAATAACTTACTCATCCGAGAATGAAACTTCAGTATTGGTCATTTCACAAACCGTTACTGCGGGAAATGTTGTGTTCCAATTTAGATAAGTCGTTTCGGTTACGAAGCTGATTGAATTATACACAAAAGAATTGTACGAGTACATTATTCCAATCACGGTCCCATACAAGCATCCCACAAAGAATACTGCATAGAAAGCTCTAAAATATGAACAAAAAGGAAGGAAACCTAGCAATAACTGATCATTATTAAAATAAAGCTGGGTTTCCATCCGAAGAACATTGAAGAATTTGCTTTGCTGTTGTTTGTTCCCGAACATGTTTTACAAAGTTTATAAAATTTTCTTTATGTTTCGTCACGGCAAAAAACAAATGTGATCTGCTACCGCGGTGGAAACAATGAGGGAACTTGCCAACAATCTAGGCGATAGTTGTCTGTTGCAAGAAATTACAGGATAAATAGTTTGTCTATGATTCGTGCCATCCTTTTCTATTCTAAGCGTTTTTCAACAAATGATTAATGCACATCGATGCTAGTAATTCTTATAAAATTTTGGACATTACCATATAACTACATGCCACCATATTTTCAAAAATGTTCTTTAATGTTATTCCGGTGGAAACCTAGCTTTACGAACAGAAGGCGTTTTTCTTTTTTTTTTTTATAAAATGGAACACCTTCTCAGGCAGTTAGGAGGGGTAAAGGTAGATCTATATTTCATTATTGTTCGCAAATAATTAAGGATGTGGGTTGTTCTAGGTTCAGGGAAATGCGAAGATTAGCTTAGGATAGGAAGGAGTGGAGATGCGTGTCCAACCAGTCTTAGACTGACGACCTTATGATGATGATGATAAAATATTAAAAATGTTTATCAATTCTCTCCCATGGAGAAAGTCCTGAACATAGTTAGCAATATATATACTTTATGTCATTACATCACTTGTATGTAATATCTGTTTACATTTTTAGTTACAAATTTTGAAATAAGCTGGTCGCTAAAGAACAAACAATCCTTCATTTTTAAAAGCGCGGTCAAAAATATTACGTTAAAGAAACTTTTAGGATTTTTAAAATTCTTGGGCGACATTTATATATAAATAATATGAATGCCTCGTCTTTATCTCTAATAAAAATGGATCACGATGTTCCTATTAAATTATAGTTAAAGTAAAGTAAAAGTTAACGCTTTTATACATGCGAAATATATGCTGGAGATGACAGGAAGTTTTTACTTCTGCCTCATCGTAAAATAAGCGACAACCACGAAATGATGTACAAGTGTGATTCAGCGAGAATTAGCTAGTTATGTTTTAAGCAGATGACTCCATAATCAGATAAAACCAAATCTTCATCCAAAATCGAAAAATAAATTGTCAATTGAATCGTCTTGATTGATTGATATCTTAAATCTATAGTTACTCTACTGTCGATTCTCTCATAATTTACGAACCCCATGAATTGATGAAATTAAATTAGAACATTTACATTATTAATTATGGTTTACCTCTTGAAATAGTTAACATCTTGGTCAACGATATAGTGTAGACCATGGAGAGAACAATTTTTCGCATACTGTCTTAATGTTCGTCCAATCCTCTTGCTGTCGCATTTAAACATTACTGTATCTGCAGGTATATAGCAATCTAACAAACAATTATTAATTTTCTTTTACAATAAGCAAACGTATTTGTCATTAGTGGAAATTTCTACGAATGAAGAAAGAACTACAATTCACTTTGTCTTTTATACGATGTTTGTATATATATATTTTATTAGAGAAATTCAAGAAGCTATGCATGTAATTATCAGGGGCGTATCAATGATACGGGGCCTCCGGGCTACAGAGGCCCCTAACGTGTGTAAACAAAAATTAGTAAAATGTTATCCACAATGTCACTTAATCGTGCTCCCGGGGAAAAAACATATAAAAAGAGCTATCATACGTGCTTATAAAGTTTTCACTTCAGTAACGAGAAAGTCAAAAAAGTAATCTTTTTTTCCCGTGTTAAGCGTGTGCCTAAAAGTTGGCAACATCCTGCATCGGTTATTGCGGGATTCCCCGTTTAAGTCAATAAGTCCAGAAATTTAGCAAAAGAGTGGGGGGTAACAACTGTTTTTAAAAATAAAAGGCGAAAGATAAAGAAGCGTTTTTTATGAGTTATCACAAGATGAGTGAATTTCAGACCTGGAATCATATTTCAATGTATACCATTGTTGTTTAGATATATTAATTTCTCAAACTAAACAAATATTTCAGAGCCTTTATGACCTGAGTAATATGTTCGAAGTATTACAACCGGAGAAACTCCTATCTTCTTCAAACAAAATGATAAAAAATGCTTCCGGAAAACTATCGGCTAAATACAGTAAAGACATCTCAGTTCAAATTCAAAAAATTCATTCCATTAAGGAACTCATAGAATTATTGCTGATAAAATTCAGTAGCCTTGCATCCACTTTTCCGAAGGTAATAACAACATGCTTTCTATTTTTGACCCTTCCAGTTACAATCGCAACAGCTGAGAGAAGTTTTTCAAAATTAAAACTGATAAAAAATTAACCTAAGGACTTCGATGGGGTAGGAACGGCTGTCAGACTCGTCACTATTGTCTATAGAGGCAGAAATTTTAGAAACACTTAAATCGTCTTCAGCTATTTTAATAAATCAATTTGCCTAAAAAAAGGCAAGAAAAGTGTATATTTATTTTGAATTGTTCGGCTAGCTCAATTTCAATGTGGAAGCGTTAACATATAATCAATAAATATTTATTTTAATTCAATGCAAGCATTTTTGTTTCTTTTGTGAGAAATCTTCACCCTTCATTTGGGCTGCCCAATTAATTTTGAAACAGGGCCCCTCCAAGGCACGCCACGCCACGCCACTGGTGATTATACATATATAATGTACAGATATATTTCAATCAGGCTTTTAGTTTCACAATGAAATTCATTTACCTACCTTACATTCAGTGTATTATGTTATGGGAAGATACAAAATCAAAACAGAAGGTAATACAATAGTGGCGATTCCATTCCTAAATAGGGCCTAATGGAAACGTGAAATTCTATACAAAATCAAAACAATAACCTGTGTTAGACGTATTATAATATGGATCATGTATCTGTATATTTGTTATCGCTTCAGATGCGTCAAATACAAATATACGAGGGTGGATTGATAAGTTTCCGGCCTAACCAAGAGATGACGCCACTAGGCCTACCTTGAGGTGACATTCTATAGTACCATCCTTGGATAGCTTGTAGCTATAGTTTCAGCCCGATCTCCTTGCTAGTGTAGGTTTGACAGCACGCTGAACAAGACGCCTCTGTGGTTTTCGTAAAAATGGAAAAGCAGGAAAATCGTNTTAATTTTTCTGTTCAAATTATATACGATAAGAAATTTAGCATTTCTAAAGGAGTAAATATTGCGAATTAAGTTTTTAAAATTTACCAGAACCAGGTTAAAAGAAAAAGTTAGAAGCGTTCGAAATGTGGTGTTACAGGCGAATGATGAGGATACAGTGGATAGAGGTTAGAAATGAAGAGGTATTAGAAAGAGTAGGAGAACAGAGGACTCTAAGGAAGTCAATAAGAAATAGGCGAGATAGGTTAGTAGGACTCTTTGTCAGGCATGAAGGTCTAGTCAGACATATTGCAAGCAGAAGCGGTAGTTAGGAGGAGTAGAGGTAGATCTAGATTAGATTACTGTTGGCAAATAGTTAAGGATATGGGTTGTTCTAGTTTTAGGGAAATGCGAAGATTAGCTTAGGATAGGAAAGAGTGGAGGTGCGTGTCCAACCAGTCTTATAGGACCTTATGATGATGACGACCAAAACTTTAATTTATGAGTAATTATTGAACTTCTGGAAATGTTTACAGAATGTTTGCAACCTGCTGTTAAAAAACATCCAAACATTTACATCATGTTGATGTTCCTTAGAACTGAATCAACGTTTTGATAGGTAGAACACTTTTTAATGCTCACTTTTTTATGGAGTTCCCCGTTTGCCTTAACGGTATAGTTTTAACGCAACATTATTTAAACGGATTCCTTCGTGGAGTGCTAATTTTCATGGTTTAACCTTGAATATTATGAAAAAGGCTCATAAGATTAGCGGAACCTCGGGGTTCCCAAGAACCCAGTTTAAGAAACGCCGAACTCCACTTTCCTATGCCATGGAACATTAACAAAACTAAACGACAAAGAGATAAAAGAGACACAGACAAAAAGCGAGATCAAAGGACAGGGTGGCACCTAATGTTCTCTATAAGGGTTACAGGGCTGGAAGGTAAGCAGTTGGCCGTTATTATTTCAAATATCACCAAAATATTACAAGTATTGTACAATCGATTTCTATTGAAATATTCAAACGTCTTGTTTTATTCTTAATTTATTACTAAGATTGCAAGATATAAATCATCCAGCCCGATGTGTTTCTGTGTAAAATCTCTCGAGACAATGAAATATCTCATTATTTTGGAAAATGTTTTATACAAAGGTTGTATTCTTCCAAAGGCAAAATCAGCTGGTGACCTTGAATGTGAATGTAACTTTATATTCAAGGACATTGGCTTGCCATTTGGAAGTGGAAATTTTTACCACAGCAGTGGAAAGGGTGGGGAAATTGTGTTTTCGGAAATAATTTCTCGTAAATTAAGAGCAAATCAATTTTGAGAGTATTTTCGATTTCAAAATTTTTCACCCTTTCCATTGCTCTTAAAAAAAAAAAATGACTGGATCTTTAAATAATCTTGAATCAATTTCAAGAGTTTTTCCGATTATAAAGTTTTCGACTGTTACCATACGTATGCATTTAAAACAATTACTTGACCCACAAATTGCTGAAGATCGAGGTCAGAATAACACTCATGGTCAATAACCCTATATTCAAACATAAAATACGCATAAGTACTTCTAAAGCGGTGGTAGAAGTCTACTAAGAAAGAAAAGATTTTTTCGGTGAAACGTTTGTAGGAAAAATAGTAACTCCTGCGTTATCAGCTTGGATTAAAAACTCTTTAGAACAAATAATAAAATAGGTATTTAACGATTTCTTAATACAACCCCTAATACACAAACTTAAGTTTTCTTAGTTTGACGATTTTATGATTTAATTAAGGATTAAAAGGACAAAACAATAGTTTGATATTGATAATGGAAGAATGCAAAAGAAAATAAAAAAGATACTTTAGCAGTTGATAGCTCATGATAATTATTTACAAAAATTATTTTTATTTACATATCTTCACTTAAATTTATTTCAATCCCAGTTTGCATTTAACAGCACGTTTTATTAGTAAATACTTAACTATATTTTATTACGCTAATACCATTTTCTTTTCATAGTCTTTATGACGTATATAAATACATATTATGGTTCATGTAAGAATTTGAAATCTTTTTTATTAGGGTTTCTTATCATGTACTTGTTATTTAGTTATCAGTTTTAATAACAATAAAATAGTTATTCAAAATATTTGCAATTTCCTACTTCTGGAATCGGTAGTTACTATATCCAAATCAGGTGTAACAGCGATTCCAGAAATGCAAGAAAATTTATCGGAACCCTGAGATCCTCCAACCGACCGTATGAGTAGTCCATCAGGCGAAAATATTTTTAAGCGCCCACTTCCGGCATCCCCTACTAATATAAAACCGTCTGGATCAGTCGCTATGGCGTCGATAGATTGAAACTGTGACTTATTTCCAAACTCAGACAATTTTTGACCATCTAACGAAAATAATTTAACCTAAAAATTAAAACAGCAAAATTTATCTACATTCCTGGCAACGAAGAAAAGTGGAATGACGAATGGGACAGGAATATCAAATATCATCTTAGGCTAAATCCCTTTCGCGTTGAAGCTATATGAGATGCGAAAGCAGAATGTGTAAAATATTTAATTTGCAATAAATATGCAGTAAGAAAAAGATAAGATAATAGACATACAGAATCACAGACAGGCGAGACGTACATACATAGACAGGCAGGTGACGAAAATGAATGGTCCTTAGACATTAGGTAAGGACAGGCTCAAAAAAATATAACATGCTTCTATAAATATTATAAGTAATGATGGTACTATTAATTTTTCTGTTCAAATTATATACGATAAGAAATTTAGCATTTCTAAAGGAGTAAATATTGCGAATTAAGTTTTTAAAATTTACCAGAACCAGGTTAAAAGAAAAAGTTAGAAGCGTTCGAAATGTGGTGTTACAGGCGAATGATGAGGATACAGTGGATAGAGGTTAGAAATGAAGAGGTATTAGAAAGAGTAGGAGAACAGAGGACTCTAAGGAAGTCAATAAGAAATAGGCGAGATAGGTTAGTAGGACTCTTTGTCAGGCATGAAGGTCTAGTCAGACATATTGCAAGCAGAAGCGGTAGTTAGGAGGAGTAGAGGTAGATCTAGATTAGATTACTGTTTGCAAATAGTTAAGGATATGGGTTGTTCTAGTTTTAGGGAAATGCGAAGATTAGCTTAGGATAGGAAAGAGTGGAGGTGCGTGTCCAACCAGTCTTATAGGACCTTATGATGATGACGACCAAAACTTTAATTTATGAGTAATTATTGAACTTCTGGAAATGTTTACAGAATGTTTGCAACCTGCTGTTAAAAAACATCCAAACATTTACATCATGTTGATGTTCCTTAGAACTGAATCAACGTTTTGATAGGTAGAACACTTTTTAATGCTCACTTTTTTATGGAGTTCCCCGTTTGCCTTAACGGTATAGTTTTAACGCAACATTATTTAAACGGATTCCTTCGTGGAGTGCTAATTTTCATGGTTTAACCTTGAATATTATGAAAAAGGCTCATAAGATTAGCGGAACCTCGGGGTTCCCAAGAACCCAGTTTAAGAAACGCCGAACTCCACTTTCCTATGCCATGGAACATTAACAAAACTAAACGACAAAGAGATAAAAGAGACACAGACAAAAAGCGAGATCAAAGGACAGGGTGGCACCTAATGTTCTCTATAAGGGTTACAGGGCTGGAAGGTAAGCAGTTGGCCGTTATTATTTCAAATATCACCAAAATATTACAAGTATTGTACAATCGATTTCTATTGAAATATTCAAACGTCTTGTTTTATTCTTAATTTATTACTAAGATTGCAAGATATAAATCATCCAGCCCGATGTGTTTCTGTGTAAAATCTTTATTATTGCAACCGTTGGGTTCTTACCCTGTTATTTCCGCTGTCTGCAACAATTATTTGATTTTTATAAATTGCAACTCCTGTAGGGGCTTGCAGTCCCGTTCGTTTGTCGATTTTTCCGAGTGACAGAACTTCGTGGCCGTCGTCCGGATTGAGAATAACGGCCCTGTCGTTTCCAGTATCGCAAACGACAAGGTCGTTGTTTGGACAAACGGCTATTCCTTCAGGACTAAGTAACTTCCCTTCCGAAGTGCCTTTACTCGACAAGACGTTGATATAATCACCAGTACTGGAGAACACGTGAATGCAGTGGTTCCATTTATCTGTCACATAAATTTCACCCCTTGTTTTGCTGCATGCTACGCCATAGGGACATGCCATATTTTCCGAAGTTAATTTACCAATAACCTTTTAAAATTGTAACACTTAGTTTATTTGGAATTCTTTTATGGATATTGTGGAAAATAAATTCTAAAATAATTTTTAAATGTTACATGTAGGAGTCTCCTCCACAATTTGTGCATTGATGTCACAATAAATAAAATCAAGTAACAAGTAACATTTCAGAGATTTAGAAAATACCACAAATGACGCAGTAAACGCCATCTGTAGCACGATGCTACATTTTAGGATTACGTATGCACAAATGTAGCATCGTGCTACAGATGGCGTTTACCGCGCCATTTGTGGTATTTTCTAAAACGCGCTGTTAAGACAGCAGGTAAAAGTTGGTCTGTGTTCTGTCGGAGCTGACTGCGCCGCGCTGATGAGATCCAAAAAGATCGAAATCGCGATCCGCGTCTGGCAGTTTCGACAATATAGACCACATTTTATTCGAATTATTTTATTTCAGAGATTATTTGAGCATTCAAGTCTTGATGCCTTTTATAAGTACTTCTTATTACATTCTTTATTAATATGTACGGGAGCGTTCAAGTTTTACGTAAGCACGATATTCATGATTTTAGTTCTCCCCTATCAAGAAAATTTCCACAATGTTAAGGCATAAAAAGTTTTTTAATACTTTCATTGAAATTCGACGTTAAAACATAACGATGAAATTATTGATATCGATATAAATATCCGACTAGAAATTAGTTCAGGGAACCTGGATTATGATCAGACCCGGATCAGGTTTTCCGTGATACGCCAATCTGATCAGTTCTGATCAAGGAACAGTACCCTATCCCTTGAGCCTTGATTTTATAAGGCGTGACGGTTTTTAATCATATCCGGATTAGGAAGCCTGATTTAATCCTCATCTGTCTTCAGGCAATCCTGATTAGGATCGGACCCTATATTGAACTAATTTCCAGTCGGGTAAGTGATCAGCAGAGATGTGATTTTTTTTGAAGTATTTGCATTTTAAATACCTATTTTTCTCTTGCATTTAAATACTTTTTTGAAAAAAACATTTTGTAGTTTATTTAAAATACTTTTCCGAACGTTTTTTCTATTTGTAAAATGCAAACTACATTTTTGTCGTTATAATGTTTGCTAGTATCACCGATCAAACATTATATAAAATGATGAACGAAAGTTGTTCACATTGGCCATTGAAGGTATTAGAAGCTTAAAAAAGGGACAAAGAGACATTTCTTAAATAATATTTTATACTTCGGTAAATGTAGAAAATTAAATAGGAACCTACTGCAAAAATGTATTTATTTGAGAAAATTATTTTGAAAATACGTATTTTGCATTTAGCATTTAAAATACGAAAGGGAAACCTGTTTTGTATTTTACATTTGAAATAACAAATCAGAAAAGTATTTGTATTTAAATACTTTTAAAAAAACATTTTGCACATCTCCAGTGACCTGTATGCGACTTTATACAAATCTATCTTCAAAAATTTACTTTAATATGATTTGAAATTATCAAGTATTTGATAGATCTCTTTGTACGTAAGATTTATAGCATCCCCTATCACCACTCCCTCTGTAAACAAAAATACATAATCCCCTCTCTCTCCACGCCTGCTTACGTAATACTTGAAACTCCCTTACTGACTTAATTGGAATTTTTGTGATACGTTACTTTAAATTTAATTCTGTCCATAATCAGAATGGATTTATTATCTGTTGTGGCAATGTACAGGATATGCGAGGCCCATGGGGCAATAGCGACTCCAGCTGGTCGTGGAAATTTGTTCCAAATTAACTTAGCAGTAAAATTGCGAGTTTTATATTCCGAGCAAAAAATATCGTCGTCCAGTACAGGGGATGAAGCGTTTCCCGATAGTTCGGATTCCATGTTTAAACTATTCATGTGTAGGGTTTGTTCAAGTGGAACATTCAGTTCTCCCCACTTATCAACTTTGTCAATCAGGGCTGAAGTTGCCCGATGAAAATTAACAAAAGTTACGACCTGTGAAATATTTATCATGTGTAACGCATTTTATCTTTAAATAATTTGGTAATTTCTTGATAATATTAAGTTATTGAAAAAGTCAGGCTGATAAAATGTCTAACAAAAGAAGTACCTTAAGGTCCAAAAATTTGGTCAAAAAAACATTAATAATGGTATCTGTTGAAGGACACTAGGCACTTACAGACTGAAGTCCATTCCCTTTTTTACCAATTGGCTAAACAGGACTTTAACTGGTCCTAGAAAGGTCTGAGATATAAGGATTTTAGTCGGTAGGTCCGAGGACATCTTCCTCGGAAATCTGACATTACCAAGTCGTACGAACGGCTGGGTGTCATTTGTAGATATCCCGTCTTCCACGTAAAAAGAGCATATATACGAAATAGTGCACAGAACTGCCTCATGCGGCCCTGTTAAATAATATAAAAAATACCCACAGATTTCATTTGATCTATTCACTAACAAAAGTCGATTTATTTTTAGTTTTAATTACCTATATACGAGCCGCTTCTGATCGAGATCCAACTGATCTATTTAAGATAAGTATTTTCTGTTTCAAATATACAGTGGATTTCATTAATTACGACCTTGGTTGTTATAGCGACCATTGTGCTATAGCGACGTTATATGTAAGTCTACTGGTAAAGGTCTAGATGATGGCCTCCACCACCTTCGGCTAGGGGGGGATCGAAAGAGGAGGTCTCCCCCGTCAATGTACCATAAAAAGTTCGTGGCGGTCTCACCCCCATAAAATGTTATCGGGGTTCAAAGTTAATAAATATGCCAATTTTTATACATTTCTAGGCATGTAAATATTTATATAGTCATTCGTAAACAATATTCAAAGGTAAAACAATATTGAGAAATTTATATAAAACATTATTTAAATATCTTTATCAATAGAGTAGGTTAGGTTCGGTTATCGGGTTTTGTTCAAGTGACACCCTCTTTCGATCCCCCACCTTCACCCGCTTGAAAATAATTATTTTATTGAATTTTATTTGAATTATAGTGTATGAAAATTGTTAAAATAATCATCTTTCAACCCCCATAACTTTTTATGGTATAGTGGTTGGGGAGACCTCCTCCTTCGATCCCACCCACCTCTAGACCTTTACCAGTCAATTGAATATAAAGCATAGTTTAGTATAAAAGTAGGTATAGCGACTTCGGATGTAACGCAGAGTTCGGGTGTAGCGACTGTTTTTAATGAATTCATTTGCAACAAATCCGTAGTAATCCCATGCAGATATAACGACCGGAATCAGCCGCTAAAGACACAAAGACCTTTCTTATCTTTTGTTTACATCCACACAGATAGTCCACACGTGTGGTGACCTTTACCGTTGTTTCTGAGTAGCAACTGTGTATAGTAAACTTTTGAATAAGTGTGACTTCCAGATGTACATTTGCTGTTAAAAAAAGGCGAAAATTGTTTCAAAATAGAAAAACAGTGTGTGTCTGTATCTCCTTTAACTTTACCTGTACCGACTTCTGGATATAACGACGACATTACAGTGATCCTTTCGTTGCCGTTATACCAGAAATCCACTGAATATGCACCGAATCATTTTTATTTTTTTCAACCTGACTTTTTCAATTGAAATGTTACGTAAGAAAGTAACTCTACCTTTTGTATATCGCTCTCTATATTATCAAAGTCCAATTTTTGTATATCGTTTTTGACGTCTTCTATTTTCCCTTTCAAAATTTGCGCAACTTTGTTTTCACTTTCTTTACATTTTCCACATCTGGCCAACGCTTGCTGCTCTTCTTTTCTAATCTCGTTAATTTTCGATTCTACGGCCGTTTTTATTTTCATCTCTGCGTTCGAACATTTTTGATCGAAGTCGTCCAGTTTGTTTTCAAGTTTCGACTGAGTTTGGGAAAGTTGATTTACCAACGAAATTAAATTCTTTTTCAACTCCGACATATGTTCCGTCCAACATACTTTACAAAATACCTGTTCAGAAAAGGAGTGACAATTTGGAAATGTCGTCATCAATTGGGACATAACAAAAAAAGGCAAATTGAAACACAAAAAAAAAATAAGTAGGCACTTATGAAAACTTAATAATATTTAATGCGGACGGGTTAGATTTTTTATTTTCGAAGATTTTTGCCATTGCTTAAGTGCGCTGTGGTCAATTATTAAAAAGAACTCAATCCAAAGTTGTGGTAAATTATAAAGGGAACACGAGAATTTTTTGAGTTTACAAATAAATTATAAATCTGCTGGAAAAATCCAACAAGTTAGATTTTACGTTAACCAAAACGCAAAGAGGTCATATTTTGAAAGAATCCCAAATTAAATTTCGAATTATTGGGAGATTGTATGTACTTCATCGATATGGTCTGTGCAAGGTTTTGTAATAAAGAAAATATTATATAAGTTTCATTTATGTGTAGATATCATCGTTGTAAACGCAAATAAGGTTTCTAAATTCTGAGACCAAAAACGTATTAGCGACTTTGTTATCAAATTTCAAGCTCCGGTACTAATCCCGAAAATTCCAATGATAAACCCGAAATCGATATATTGCTTTTTTACAACAAAAGTATTAAAGTAAGAGTTTAATGGAAACCAGTAATCCAGTCGGTAGAGAATTTTCTCGGCATAAATTTGTTACCGGACGGGAGTTGTTCCTTGATGTACGCGGAGAAAAGTTAAGCATCCCTGTATATTTTTAAACTTCGAAAAAGTGTGCGTTAACAAATGGGGGAGGTTCAAAGTTGACAAAAACCAGGTTTTTAGATCTCGAAGACAAGGTATGTCCTTTTAGAACGAAAAGTTTCAAATAAAAATTGTAGAGAAATTAGAAATTTAAATGACAGTTTTAAGGTGGAGGTTCTACTACTGAAATTTAGAGACCACATTTGTTATGGGTAAAATCCTGGGGCTAAGTACCGGCACTGGTAACCCTAAGATAGTCAAGCCATAATTAACTTTGTATACTCCATGAGATTACTGTTCGCAAATAGTTAAGGATGTGGGCTGTTCTAGTTTTAGGGAAATGCGAAGTTTAGGTCAGGATAGGAAAGAGTGGAGGTACGTGTCCAACCAGTCTTAGGACTGATGACCTTATGATGATGACTGCATGAGATACATTTTGGTTTATTTGGCTGTTGTAATATGAGACCGCAAAACGTTTAGTTTTTTTTCTTTGTTTCAAATTGTATAAGAGTGAATTGTTATTAGTAAATTATTATTATTTCGTTCCTAAATACCTGAACGCAATGCTGACATCTTGTCTCGTCGAATTTGCAAAGAGTCTGGCATTTTGCGCACCTAATCTCAGTAGATATCCTATAATTAGCAGAAGCAGGAGTTGACATGCATTTTGATGAAATATCTTTGGTTCCTGGCTTTGGTAATAAATTTAACAACGAATCGATGTAAAGATTTCTGGGCAGTACATCCAGGCCACCTATTCCTTTGTCTATCGAACAACTGTACTGGCATGTTGGACACTTAATCTCTACGCATTGTTGTGCCGCACTTTCAATTTCCTGTGCAGTTGGTGGCGTGTGTCTTTTATTCATTGCTCTGCCAGCTTCTGCCTTCAAATGAAGTTGCAAACATGATAGACAAAAGGTGTGCTGACACGGGAGCATTTTTGGTTCTGTTAATCTATCTAAGCACACTCCGCATTGTAAAAGCTCTTCTAAAACATCGCTTGATTCAGTAGATTTTAATCCTTCCTTACTAGAACAAGAAATCGAAGTATTTCATGCTGACTTTTATACTATATGTCAAAGAGATAATTAGAGAGATAATTAATAACCTTATGTTATTTAAAAATTAGGTAACTGTATTAAAAGACATTAAAAAAACTGAACTACTGATTATAAAAACTTTTAATTATAATTTATAGGCAACCCAACATACGTAGGTTTCTAGACGACATACATTGGATCATTCTAGAACACGGCCAATCTCTATAAATAGTTGTCGCGAGATTGAATGAGTTAGTACGAAAACGAGTTCGAGGCGACACAAAGCAAGGGCGAAGGAGCGAAGAACTGACAAAGTGTTCATTGATAACTAATTAGTAATAGAAGCAAATAATTAAACAAAAGTAGTAATAGTTGCTAGAAGGTGTTTTTAAATACGTGACATTAATAGTTGAAGCACTTAAGTTTTGAAAGTTCATATTATGAATTGAATAAAACAATGATGATTTATTCGATTATGGTAACATGCCTATCACGTTGTGGTATTTTCTATACTGAACTATTTAAATTCGTTTGAAACTTACAAATCAATTTTTTATTCATTTAATTCGAGAACAGGGTGATTAAGTTTAGATTACTGAAAGTCACTCTCTATATTGACCCCTGACTCCATAACTTTATCAATTACATCGATCGTATATTGCTTAGAGGTAAAGGCTGAAGTACAATTTCCCCATTTTCGATTGAGATAGATAAAGTAGTAACAATATTTCACCAAGTTTCGTAATAAATATAGACAATATGCGTAAACAAAATTATGTATGTAATTGAATTCAGTATAAAATTGTGTTAATTTAATAAAAAAATTAATGTTTGTCGTTTCCTTAAAAATTCGAAATGCATCACAAAAGTCATGTATCTTAATGGACGTATTAATGCCAGAATTTTTGTTAATGCCTATTTCAGTTTAAAATAAAATTTTTAATTAATTTGAAAGGCAATTAAAGTTTTATATATTTTGCGAAAAATAACAACAGAATTGTTGTGTTTCGATTAATAGGGACTTTACTAAAATGATAAATAAACTAAATCAATTATTAAAGATAGCAAATACATAATTTAATTTTAAATTACTTTTACAGTTTTAGAATACGTGCTCTCTCAATTACACAATAAATAAACACTTATCTCCATTATTTACTGCGCTTTCTATTGTAGTTGCTTAATCTATATCAAGTCGTCGAATTGATTAGTTAAGATATCATACAATAACAAAAAACATTAACATATATTTATAAGAAAAATAAAGAAATTTTGTAAGCTTCTTTTAAGTTTCATTTTTGTATGAGATTTTTATAGACAATACGCGTCGTTTTGAAATATTCATCAGATTTAGATTTCCTAAAAAATACTAACTATAGGACACGCGGCAGTTTATAATATTGATAAATAATTGTACACTCTCAAAGGTACTTGTTTGGCGTTGAATTCACTGACAATGGTTAACTAGTTTAACGTCAATTGCAACTTTTTATTATTTGATATTATTTTTCGAGCGGTAGAATTACTGATACTATTTAAATCTAAAATTTTGAGTTGTGTTCAGATGTATTCGTAGTTCTAGTATATTGTAATGATAATTTGTTTGACTGAGATAACGGATGATCAAATATTCTTCTTTTTCTGATTATTAAGATCTAAGATCTACTGCAAGAATGAAACTACTTTCTATGTTCAAGATGTTGGCGTAATAGGAACTTCTAATTAAAAATTGCTATGACATTTTAATTATTAATAGTGGTTAATATGAAATATTAATGTGAAAATTCATTTTCAATTTTCCATTCACTACAAACTACCTCAGGCTAAACAGGAAAATTTTTTTTGTTGCTGTTGTCAACCTTGTAGGCTCGGTTTGTCGCGGTTGCTGGTGTCACCTCTCGTAGCTTAGTGGTCAGAACATTGGTGAGTAAAGCCAAAGGTCCCGGGTTCGATTCCCGGCGGGGTGTGTCAATAGTAACAAAAAAAAAATTCCCTCTTTAACCTGAGATACTTTGTAGTGGAAAATTGAAAATTAATTTTCGCATTAATATTATATGAAAATTGCTAATTTTTTGACGTGTTGACTGTGTTTAAGTGCCAATATTCGGTCGTCGTAGGGTCAGAGACAGTAGTATCTATGTCTAAACTCCCGTTGACGGAATCATTAGGTTAATTTATTTACACGTACTGCGCCTTATCATCATTGATAGACACTGAATTTGATTAATATTAGAAGTGTAGAAACTATTGTACAATCTGAAACTTACTTGGGCTTAGTAACGTCCAACCTTTTCATATTTTGTTTCACTTTTTGTAGTCGCGAAGAAATATGCATCTTCTCAACACCCAAAGACTGAGATCTCTTTAACACCTTCGTACTTGAGTCCATCATATTTTCACTAACTGCAAAAAAAATGCGTCTTCGCTTCGCGTGTATTTATATAGATATGGCTTTTAACGTTATTTGTTATTTCGAAATATGCCTTTTTATCTTATCTTCGAATAAGTATATCAATTATTTCCATGTACGTACTTCACACGATTGTGCATAATTGAAGTCATCAATTATAGGTGTCAATTGTCGAAATTCGTGATGCTTTTTTGAAAAACAGAATAACAAAGTCTAAAGCTATTTTCTTGAACTGAATATTTTTCAAAATTTCTATGGTTGAAACACCCAACAGTTTTATATTTCTTTAACACCACATTGTGGTTCATCCTCAAACCATCAATCGTCGTTTACAAGTGAATCTTCACTCTAGGAGCTCTCTTAGAGACGTCCACGAACTTGGAAATTGAGAGCATAGAATTATTTGGGTAGAGCACGAGATCAATTGTATGCGATTCTTTTCTTATCAGAAAAATAGAGATTTGAAGTGCGACTAGATAATCGAAGATTAAGAGTTTGAAGTCAATCTGGTAACTCGAAAATTATACTTATATACTTTGGTTTTGTAAACCAATTGCTAGCGCTCAACTTTATGTCGAAAATATTTTTCAAACTAAAGTTGTATCATTTGCGGGAAGAGTCCGTTAAAATTTTGTTGTACATGATAAAATGCCTGCCCTCACACGGCAATGGTGACGGAGGATTTTTTAGAATGCTCCCAGTTCAATTCCAGAGAGGCGGTAAGGGACATGCCGCAGAGATGAGACCAACCGCATATGGATGATGCCCACAATCGCGAACGGAACCAACAGCTCCCTTCACAATGGGAAATATATAGGTGGCTATATATGTAGTAACATAAGATATTATTACGAAGTTAGGGTAGAAATATTGAGCAGTTGTATATGTGTGTGTGTGTGTGTGTGTCCGTAGTTCTAAGAAAATTCAAGTAGGTTAAGTTGTAAAGTCAAACCAGATGTTTTTTTTGCTAGATGCTAAGGGTAGTTTTTAAGTTGTTTCCTGTAAGGAGAAATCGGTCGAACCAAGTACCCAGGTAGTCGAAAAAAGGACAGAGGTAGGGGTGGGTCGTTTACGTTTTCACCGACAACGAAACGAAACCGTTTTTTTAACGTCAACTAGTTGATAAACTAGTTAACGTTTCAACGTTAATAGATCAACGTTGTTTTGGTTACTTTTCTTAAAGAAGTAATAGGTCTATTTTTTACTTTTTGAAGTTTAGGTCTGACCAGAGTATAATAAATTGTTATCAGACGTATTTATTCATCTTCTTTTTTAAATATTTCATATTATTAAAAGAGAAATGAGAAAAACCATTTTTTTATTTAAATTAGCGACAACGTGTAGGTATAGTACAGTAGTTAAAATTATTTTTTATCAATTAAAAATATGATACCTGTAATACGTATATATGTTACATGCTAAATATGACGACTCTTTTCAAGGACACTATTTTCCCATACCTGCAGCTGGTTATTATTTAATTTAGAAATGCTTAGTAGACAAATTATCAATATTATATTCTTTTATGAAAACTCAAATCATTCTAGCTTCAGACTAGGCCTGATAATCATTATCTTGTAATTGTAAAATAAAGTTCTTTTTAAAAACTCTTTTGTTGGAACTTTTATCGTATCAGTTGGCGCAGTCAGTAGGATCGTCTTTTCCGTAATTTCAAAAAAGGCGATCAGTGAATATTTTCGGGAATTTAGTGGTGAACTTTTCTCGAACAGATTTGTGAACTTTTTCGGGAATATAGTGGTGAACCCTTTTTCTCGAAGAAAACTGTTTTAACATTGGGAACTCATTGGAGAAGTGGAACATCGTGTTGTCCATAGAAACCTTTCGCAGTTTCGCCTTCAGGAGACATTCCGACTAAGGGAAAATCAAAAATTGGATTTCCGCCTGTTCGCCCTGCTGCTCAGGACCCATGAACTTGCACCTCTACATAGCAAGCATCTTATTGGCAAGGTTGGTGATCCTTTAATTAACCAATTTACCAAACTGTACAGGTTTACAAATACCTTTACTTTTTTTAAAATTACATAAATTCTATACTTGAAAACTTGAGAAACATGACCTCAAACGAGGAAAGAAACTTTTCAAGAAGGGAATTGGCAGAGCTTATTCCTACGTTTGATGGTGATAACATACCTCTCCATCAGTTTATTGAAAATGTAGATTTTGTTTTTATTAATTGCGGTGCTGGCGATACTCAGTATTTCGTTAGACTGACTTTAACAAAATTAACTGGTAGGGCAGGCAAAATTATTCTTTCTAAAAGAGTAGATGAATGGCCAGATATTAAACGCCACCTTGAAAATAATTTTGGTTTAGAAAAAAGTACTGAAAGTTTAGTAGGAGATCTATTTCGTTATAGACCCAAAGTAAACAGCAGCGTTAAAGACATTTACAATAAAATTTCACTGATTAGAGACAACTTGGTAGTTTCTGCAACAGAAGACTACGAAACAGAAGAAGAAATTGTCGCTGTTACAGAATTTATTAATAAATTAGCCAAAACTGTATTTTTAATGAACATAAATCATGAGTTAGAGATAGCAGTTTTACCATCAAAACCTGTAACATTAGAAAAAGCTTTTAGTTTAGCGAATGAAATAGATAAACAAATGAAAGAAAGACAGGAAAGACAAAAATTTTTGGAATATAAAAATCAGAAGGTTAAAATAGACAAAATTTCTCCTAAACAATATTCAAATTACCATAAATTTAAAACTAACATGCAGTCTTCCGCCGAAAGTACTCCTAAGCCAAGTACCTCTAATTTTAAGCCAAACTCTTTTAACCAAAAGCATAGTTTTTCTGGTACACCATTTAAGGGGTTTTCAAAACCTAAAATTCAGTCGCTAGAAGCAGTTGAGAAAGAAACCGATTCTGAATCCGAACACGAAAATGAATATCCCGAACAGACTAAACCTTTAAACTTATCGGAGAACGAACAAGACGGGGATTGTTTGTTCAATTGAGTGATTCAGACCCCGAAAATAATTCATTTCAAAATTTAAGCAGCTTTTCCACCAACAAAATTAAAACTCTTATAGAAACATTACCTTTTATTAAAACAAAAATAAAGAACCAACCAGTTACTTTACTTATTGATACAGGAGCTGCCGTGAATTTATTGAAACCACATGAAACGTTCTTAGATAAAATTGACAGGAACGACAAAATAAAAGTATCAGGAATTAATTCCAAATTTTTTGAAACTTTAGGTAGTATAAAAACCGATTTTCGAGGGAGCACAGTTAAGTTTCATGTAGCAGATATTGACATTAATTTTGACGGCATTTTAGGCATTAACTTTTTACAAGATTTACAATGTGCTGTTAATTTAAAATCCAATCAAATTGAATTCCATGGTAACTATGCACCAATCCCTTTACAAATAAAAAAAGAAATCAAAGTAATAAATACCGTAATTATTCCACAGCGTTGCGAAAAATTTGTTGAAATAAAGACTAATTATGAACCTTTTACGGAAGGCATGCTTCCAAAGCAAAATATAAGCGATACAATATTAATCCCTGAATGCTTAGTTAAGGTAGATAGCAATAGAGTTATTCGTACAAGTCTTATTAATCTTTCTAATAAGGAACAAACAGTCCAAATTAATAATGTAATACTTCAAAAATTGCCAAACAAATTAGCACACATCGCAAGCTATCAAAATTATCGTAATAACAATCGCATAAGTAAATTAGATGCAAATCTTCGTGTAAACCATTTAAACGAAGAAGAGAGAAATTCCCTATTAGATATTTGTCACCAGTTCGCTGATATATTTTATCTCGAAGGAGATGAACTCACTTTTACATCTATTATTAAACATGAGATAAAAACTGAACATGAAAATCCGGTAACTTCAAAAACCTACAGATATCCACAATGTCATAAAGAAGAAGTAAATTCCCAAATCCAGAAACTTTTAAAACAAAAAATCATTAGATCAAGTCATTCGCCGTATTCAAGTCCAATTTGGATAGTGCCTAAGAAGACAGATGCCTCTGGAAAAAAAAAATGGCGCATNGGCATTAAAAACACGCTCACCTTCAACGAAATTTCCTTTCCGAGGCTTTGTGTCAGCCCAATCACATATTGTGTCAATACTTATCATTTTATCGTAATTTAAAAACTTGGAAATTGCACGGTACACTATAGGAACTACGATAAATTTTCCCTAATCGGCGCCATGTTTTTAGGCTCCTCCCATTTGACGGATCCTAATATGATTCAATCTTATTTAGCCCACCGTTGATAGAATGTAAATTTTTAGGCCACTTTCACACAAGGCGATAACGTCACGATTTACTTCACGCGATTTGTCGTATCGTATCGGAACTCTGCTTTCACATTATGCGGCTAAATATTGTTTCGTCATTGTTCCAAGTTCAAATGCAGGCCTACCTATCCTATGTATCTAATAGAGCGAAAAACAGTAATTCTATAAAATCGGCTATTTCGTAATTAAATGTTTTCTTCTTTGTAAAAAAAGACATTTTTAATGACTGCAAGTCGTGATTAGCACTAGTAGCATATCATACACGTGCGGCGGAAATGAGTATGGAAAACCATCGACAACGACATTTTTGCTTGTCACACGATATTTGTGAAAGCGTACATTTGGTTACATTGAATATATGGGTCCTGCAGTATTTTTATCGTACGATTTGTTAATGCAAATCGGAATGTTTTTGCGACATTTTTTACTACAACAATTTTAATATCGGATCGCATCAGTGTGAAAGCGTTCGCTTTAAATACTTTTATTCTGAATATACTTTTGTGTCGTTGCGATTTACTGCGTGCGTTTTCGCACTGTGCTGTGTGAAAGTAGCATTCGTGCACGAAGAATCGGGAATTATCATAAAAAGCCGGGTTTAGATAATTCAGGTGTAATATTAAAATAGCTACTATGTTATAAGGGCTAGTCAAAGACATATAAGAAGCAGAAACAGGAGTTAAAAAGGGGAAGACCCAGATGCTAGATTAGACTACTTTTCGCAAATTGAGAACAGAGTATCA